TTACATCACTCCCTCGTTTATTAATAGTGGTTTTATGATAATTGAACAACTGAACACATTTGTGCACAATAAAGAGCGACGGGTACTGATTTTTAATGTTTGTCATTGCATGTAAAAAGTGGCAGATTTCTCCATTTGCCATCCTTTCAAATCTTATGGGATTTTGCACAAGCACTATTGGGAAACTGCCCTTTTCAGAAATGTATTATTTATTTTGGGCAAATAAATTCACACGCTTTGAGAAAGAGTTAACTTTGGTTCATTAAATATGCAAAATCACTGTTTCGCGATTGCGTGACTAAACACCCTTGCAATCTGAAACTCACTTAAAACATCATTGTTCTTCACCTTTAGTTTAGAGAATTTTAAGAAAACATAAATATACATACCTTGAATGCAAAAAGTTCCTTTGAGCTGTTCCACTTTTGGAGTTAGCCCTAACTTAACTACATATTAAACTCAAAGTTCAAGGAGTCCAGCTAACAGAAATCAGCTAACAATGTGACGGATATTAATTAATCATGATAACAATAGCATAGCGGCGTGCGGATCGCATTTTTTCGACAATAATCCACATAAAAACAATATTAAAAATACAAGTAATGCATCACAGTGGCATTACTTTCGCCAAATCGACAGGAAGCCCGCCACCTATAATGTCAACATTTGGTGACAAATAGCTTTTTCAATGTGTCAGTATAAAAATAAAATAGAATTTCTGTAATATTAACTTTGACTGTTTGTTTCTAAGAATATTAATAGTTGTAAATAAAAGTAAATTACAGCAATAAAAAACCCCTCAATTCGCAATAATCCATTTAATAGAAAAAAATATTAAAAAAGAAATGACAACATTACAGTAATACATCGCAGTGGCATTACTTCCGCCAAATCGACAGGAAGCCCGCCACCTATAATGTAAACATTTAGCTTTTTCGATATGTCAGTATAAAAATAAAATAGAATTTCTGCATCATTAATTTTGAGTCTTTGTTTCTAAGAATATTAATAATTGTAAATGGAACACGAATGGAAGTTGTGTGAATTGTTAGCTGATTTCTGATAGATTGGATTCCAAGAACTTTGAGTCGATGTATAAGGCGGAGATGTAAACAACCGAACGGTCGACAATATTAAATTCCTGGTATAAACTCCAAAAGTGGAACAGCTCAAAGAAAATTTTTTCATTCAAGGTATGTATATTTATGTTTTCTTTAAATTCTCTAAACTAAAGGCGAAGAACAATGATGCTTTAAGCGAGTTTATTTCAAGGGGTTTTTAGTCATGCAATCGGACCATTCGCGTAATAGACTAAATTTTTATCTAAACGCTCTTTATTGTGCACAAATGTGTTCAGTTGTTCAATTATCATATAACCACTTTTAATAAACGAGGGAGTGATGTATCTTTAGCAGAAAGTATAATAAGGCTATTTGGATTTACGGTTTGGATACCACGATTAAGTAAACATACGCAATTTCGGCCATTTTTCGATTGCGAAAATCGGTCCTCACAGCTGAAATATTTTTTTCCCTTTTTTTCATAAACAAAAGACTTTTTTTAAAAACTAACCATATGACGTTTCATACTTTGTCATAGTTAACTTAAATTCAAAAGTAGAGCGAATTTAAAATTTTGAGCCTTGCCGCGGTATGTTTGATTTTTGTAGAGACTCGCTGTTAACCCCTTATAATGTTCTTGCATGCTAAATGTCCTGATTAATTTAACAACAGTTCTCGGTTAATTTGATCACCATCCTGGTTCATTTAACTATAGGATATACGGTTGAATTAACCAGACTATGTTAGGTGGATTATTAACCCAGAATGCTTGCATGGTTAATAGTCCACCTACTAACATAGTCTGGTTAATTTGACCATATATGGCTACCCCACACCAAAAACACACTAAAGCTACCCCACATTAAAAACACCCCCGTCATAAGCAAAAAAGCCAACACATTAAAAAATCTTGTCCGACCGTTGTAGAACCGAATAAGACTTAACAGAATACACTGAAAGTGTCCGTTGTTTATGTTTTCTAAAGGAAAATGAATATCTCGACGCCGGCCTTTTGACTTGTACAAAAATTATACAGCATTGTTCAGCACTTCAGCCAAGTCATCAGTTTCACTGTGTGATGCTCACACGCATTGGCTGTTCGCCGGCAATTTTTTCTCAATCATATCGCACAATGTATTAATCAGTTATATCCACATGAAGTTCTGCCTTTGTTTCCTTAATTAAATGTCACAATTCTACAATCCGATCGAGGAACTTATCAAGAATTGAAAAGAAATTGTGATTTCCTTTGACTTTTCCTCTTGAATTATTCATGATAATTCAAGAGGAAAAGTCAAAGGAAATCACAACCGTGTCCGGCGGTTTTAGCATAGTTAAAACTAATTGAGCAGCCGATCTTTATCTGATATACAAACTCGAACCGAAGGCGAGAGTTTGTATATCAGATAAAAATCAGATGCGAATGTTTTAACGAGCTTAAAAAACGGCCCATCTGATGTGTTCATTGGCAAAGTAATTTTAAAAAAACATTGTCTAAGCCAAGAAAATCAAAGCTGATGTAAATATAAATCAGGACAAATCTTTATCCGATTTACAAACATTGATTAAACATTCATTTCTTTTGTATTTTCCTCATGAATTATTAATTAATCAGTTTTTTAATATGTGATAAAAATTCATATTAATTTATATATTAAACTTTAGCTCTGATTTTCTTGGCTTTAGACAACCTTGATTTTTAAAATTACTTCGCCAATGAACTCATAAGATGGGTCGCTAAATTTCTTAAGCCATTTAAAGCACTCGCAGTCCGTGTTTTATCTGATATAAGACACTCGGCTGTTGCCTCGTGTTTCATTTCTGATAAGCACCCCTGCTCGTGTTTTAAATACTACATATATAATTCTGGAAACGCGCGCGAAAATATGCTACAGTTTGAGGCGATAAAAATGTTTGCGTTAAGGTAACCTATAAATTAAATCAGGAAGGATTAATATCCTTTTCATCGTACATACCATGGAAATGATCTGCTCCACTCGTTCAAACTTGGCCATGTTTTTCGTGTTTCTGGGCATCTTCATTAACGCAGCGAGGAATAAATATTGTCTCACAGTAACCTCTCCGTCATAACGCAACATGAACTGAGAAAGAAAGACGGTTTTTTTGGAATAACTGTTGTGGATTTCGTCGTGTCCAGTACCATTCACATTTAGATGTTCCTTTATGAGAACGAAACAAGAAAATCTTGTAATAATGTTTGACACAAAAAGCCTGCGCGTAACTTAAAAGCTATCATCTTAGAAGATATAGTTATAGGAGGCATTGCTAACTGGCTCCTTGCGAAATACTGATGGTCCTCATTGTAGATGGAAATTCCGAGTGAAAAATCCAAAAATCGAATTTCAATGAACAAAAAAAGTTCCACATTTAGTTTTACTGCCAAATATCCTCACATTCTCCCCCCTAATTAAATACGATATCCTGCCTTTTCTAATAAAGACATATTCCAGAAAGCAGCAGATTTTAGAAAACTGTCCAGCAAAAAAATCTAATATGCAACACGTAATCAAATTTTAACAGTATAAAAGTATTTTGTTATTGGGTGTTGCATTTAAATGGACATTGCACAGGGCATCTTTTAAGAATTTGTCAGCGGAGTGGCCATCATGAGAAACGAACCCAAGTCACCCAACAAGGAGGTGGTGAACGGGAAAAGTGGGAACTTGTCTGGCCCAGAAAAAAGTTTTTATTTTTAAATGTCGGGGGCTTGATTTTCGGCACTTTTAGACAATTAATTGTGATATATTTCATCCGCTAGACAACGATCTGCTCATGGAAATGCTAAAATACTCTTCTTAACTAAGTTATTCGTCCATTTTTTGCTAATATTGTAGACAGAAGGGACCTTTACTGGGTTGGGGGACAACATGGTTCACGGGAGGGGCTAAAACAGGTGCTGGGGAGATAAGTACCCTCATGCAGTCTATGGAATAAAAAGAGACCCTGACATCGCACATTCATTTGTGAATTAAACGGATACATGTGGGCCTTCCGCCGTTTTTACATCTATAGTTATTTCGAATACACAAATTTCTCTTTTAATTGTGATCTTACCTGCCCACATTCACATTTCAACCTTCCACTCAAAAGCCTCAGTAATGCGGTTTTGCCTGATCCCAGTATTCCTATTATCGCGATGAATTCACCCTGTTTTAATCTCAACGTGACATTGTTCATTCCCAACGTGCAAGAATGTTTGTTTCTTTCCGATATCGAAGTCCCCATTTCCTTATCACAGCTGTGTGTTGGATTAAATGCCCCACTATTTTCATTACTTCCCCGTCGCTCGACTTCTTCTGTAGAAAATTCGTTGCTTTCCATCTGATTATAGCCGGGATTGTGTCGCAATACCATGCGTAGATACTGCACAGTTCGGTAAAATATGCTAGTGTAAGCTTTGGTCGTTTCTTGGGAAGTTTCTTGGGTCACTGTTTGGACATTTGCGCAGTATGGGGAATGGTTAGAAACGTCTGGCGACGAGTACAGCAGTATTATTTCTTCGTCAAGTTGACAAGTGGACACCTGAAGAATTTAATGAAAATCATCACAACATAAGTGAAGACAATTTTATGACATGTCTACATAAACTATAAGAGTCAGTCCAATTGGTGAAAGAACAAACTATATCTATATTTAACCGAATTCCGAAGCTTTCAGAGCAACATTGCTGATCATTGAAATTTTGATGTACGTTACGCCCCTAGCAACTACGTGTTTGCAAGAAATGGAGGCTTAAGCCCCGTTTACACTACACTCATTTTTGGCACGGCACTCTTAAATAATGGCACGTACGCGGACCAAATTTTTAGGCACGGCACTCTTAATTTTCGCAGTGGAAACGCAAAATTAAGGGTCTGCGTGCCATAATTGTTTGACGGGCCGAGACCTCTTCCAGGAGGTAGTCTCGGCCCGCTTAAAATATAGCAGGCGGCCCTAAAACTAATTACGCATGCGTATTCCTTGGAAACGAAAACAAGATGGCGTCAAAAACAAACCCTACTTACTTAGTTAATTGTGCTCTATATATCGGATATAGAATGCTGATAATTAGATAAAAGTCAGCCCTGAATTTATCAATTAGCCTTTCTTACGATGACGAATGTCCGCCATTTTTGGGTAGCATCTAATTCTCGTTAACCAAGGCAGACAATTAGAACAATGTGAAAAGCAATTTTTCAAAATAAACTAACGATTTACAAAGCAAATTTACCATCAATCGTCCAAGAAATTATAAAAAGTCGGCTGAAATGACACCCAAAAATGGCGGCATGAGAAAGGCTAATTCAAGGCACCTCTATATCCCATATTCATGGACCACAAGTGAGGGTAACTAAATCATATTACACCCAGATGTTTGAGTGCGTACTGATTCGGAATATGATATATTGTATGATCAACAAACTTAGCTTTGAAATATACTGCATACACTACTTCCGTCCCTAAAACTGTACTTATGTCTAACTGGTGAAATATTCAGCTAAAGCATCACGGAATAGCTTTGCGTCTGGTGCTGGCGTTTCATCAATTGGAAGTATTGGTTCCTCAATAAGTACTTCAGCGTCAGCCCAATCAGGAATAAATTCATTTTTAAGAGCATCGAATATGTTATGTAACACGCAGGAGGCCTGTACAACATGTGCCAGAGTACTTACATCCATGCCCACCCGCTTTTTGAATCTGATGTATCTTCCTTTTCACCTACCAAAGGTGTTTTCTACCGTCATTCGTGCACGACTAGGACGATAGTTAAAAACACGTTCACTTCTTGTTGCCTCGTTCCTAGGGTAGCCCTTTAACACCCATGATAACAGCGGATAGGCTGGGTTGGGTCAGCAAGAATTACCGGTGGCATCTCCACCCCACATATTTCCCTATTGAGGTTATCTGGGAAAAGTTATCCCTTCCTTTTGCAAAAATGGCTGAGATGGAGAAAATCCGCGCATCATGTACGCTTTCTGGCCAACCGATAACTACGTCCCTGAATATATAATTACAATCTACCACAGCCTGCATAAGGACGCTATGAAACCCCTTACGGTTGACATAATCTGTGTGATTTTTGTTAGGTGCCAATATCGGTATGTGAATTCCATCTACTGCGCCCGCACACATGGGAAAGCTCCAAGTTTCTTCATAACCTCGAATTACTCGCAAGGTCATCACCCTTAGGGAAGCTGATAGCGTTCAGTGATGATTTGGAAACTGCTTTGCTATTAATAGCATGACATACTTCTTTAATGCACTACACAAACGACCGTGGAACTCCGAATAAGTTGCCAATTGTGCGGTATTCAGCCGTAGATGCTAGATAATATAATGTAAGTATGTAACTGCCAGCCGTCGCTTCGCTGAAACTGCTTCTCGAAGATGTGTATTTTCATAAGCTATTTCGGGCTCAACCTTTCTGAGAATAAATGTAAACGTTTCTTTCGTAACTCTGAAGTTAGCATACCATAGCTCGTCGTTGTAGGTGTCGCCCACCATCTCAAACCAGATCTATGTTTGTGGGTGCATCCACAGTGTTCTAGTTCTTTGGCGATGAAAAAAAGCTAGTACATGCAGTTTCGCTGAATTCTTTTTTAAATACCTTTTCTTTTTATGTTGTGAAGCGCTATTCTACGTACACGGTTATCTTTAAATTTTGCCAAGCGTATAAACGTCTCCGTTTTGTCACATAAAAATACCAAACAAGTGCCGAGTTTGCTGTTTTCACATCTTCCATTTTTTAAAATGCCAGCGAATTTTACTTTAAGAATTTGACCGCCGAAGTTTGATTTAAGGGCGCAGTATTTAAGCGGGCCGCATTGAACAGTAGGGGTACTAGTGCATCTTGATGGCCCGCCAAAATTTGTAGTGTAAATGATGCTTTAGTTTTCAACGCATTTAAAATGCAAGCTGCAAGCTCAACTGCAATTGGTTGTACATTAATTTGTTCTGAAAACCACGGACTGGTTATAGAATTTTGATGTACTGCGCCAGTCAACTATCAAGACTACTTCAAGACACAAGTGCAATCGTCATAATAATAATAATAATAATAATAATAATGAAAACTTTATTAATAGAACATTTATAGATATATACAATTGTAAATCTCACTTCTTGAGGTAACCTACAATTGACTACTTGAATCACTTATACGTGGTTATAGTTTTATATACAAAAATTGTTAATTATTTATAGAAATAGTTACTTTAAATGTTCATTAGTTCAGGATTTGTCCATTCTTTATTTCTACAGCAAAATATGTAGTACGTTGATCGGATGGCAATAGATATCATTTTTCTGATACAATATTGTTGGTGTTGATTATCCAGTCCTAACTCATTTAGCATTTTTACGAATGTATGGCATTCTTTGTCAAACACCCCTAGCGAACTGACTGAAAGATTTATAAATTTAACAGATGTAAAGTTTTGATCTAGTTCTCTAATTAGGTTCTTATATTTAGCTTTCTTGCGGTTGACATTGTTTGTGAGGTTTGATTCAAAGCCTACGGTAAGTTCAACAACGTAGAGATGTTTGTCTGAAGTGAAGACAAGTAAATCAGGACGATATTCATCACCCGTAATAATCGAGGAGCTTTCAAATCCAGGAAGATCAACAAGTAATTTGCATTCGTTTAAACTTTGAAAGGTTTTTGCAAGAAACTTTAGTATGCAATCGTGTCTCCAAGTAAATTGTTCCGAGTAATGTTGACAATCGGCAACAACGTGCAGAAGTGATTCAGGGTGTAAGCAGAACGAGCAGTCAGAACTTGATGAAATTCCCCATCTACTGAGGTTCTTTCGGGTAGGAAGGGTATTAATAATTCCTATAGCGAATTGTAAAGTTGAAAATGTTCTTTGGTAGCTTTGATTGCAATACCGACCAGATTGCGTTAGGTTGTGATAGGGAGAATTTAGAAACATTTTCGAAAAAGTAACCTTGACATTTCAAATGGTCCCTAAGTTTATTTTCTTGTTGAGAATGGAAAGTTTTTAAAACTTCTTTAGTTGAATTGTAGCTATCGTATTGAATGTTAGTATGATTATTAGTTGACTTCCACAGTTCGTTAATTGAATCGTTTGGAGATGTTTTTAGGGCATTGCGTAGAACTGTTTGACACTGAATGAACTTGACGGATGCGGGATGATATTTAGACCAAACTTATTACGGGTTAGAAAGATGTTACTTTATGTTCCAGATATAGGTACTTCCAGCCATTTTCGGACGTACTTGTTCACCGGAGAATCGATATTTTCGACTACCCAAGTTTTAGATATCGTGGCAACAGTAAAATGCCAGGATAGTTTCGACAAAACAAAACGACTGTAAAGTAAAATTTTGTTTTTTGGGTGAAGAGGTTTAAGATCTATTTCGGACATTAGTTCATCAATGAGGGAGGTCAGTTTACATTTATGTTTTTCATTAGTCATGCTAAAGTCGAAGTGTCGTCCCAAATACTCAAATGATTCTCCAGTCTTAATCGTTGGTATGAGATCCTTATTGATCAAAAGCTTCGGCAGGTACTGGGCAGATTTTGATAAAACTTTTTTGATGCCAAATGTGCTACATTTATCAACTCTAACAACCAAGTTGGACCATTGGCACCAGAAAGAGAATCGATTAAGGACATGTTGATTTTCCGACTCCTGACCAGTAATAACCGCAGCATCATCGGCAAACCGAAACCAGTGGATTGGATTAAGGAGTTGGAGGGAGAAACCGAACTGGCGGTACTTTTCAGCTTTGATATATTGAATATATGTGTTGAAACACATATTAAATAGTAGAGGACTAAGACAGTCACCTTGCAAAACACCACGGCCAACAGGTATAAAATGGGTACGGAACTCAGAAGTAATTACGGAAGTTTTAAAATCAGTGTATAAGCTTTTTATTAATTAAATAATTCATGTGATTAGCGATGTGATGATAGCCAAGGACGGAATGGATTAAGTTATGATGAACTTCTCCAAAAGCGTTTTTGAGGTCAAGTACTGTGATGACAAGTGAACGTTGTTTTATCCGAGCTTTGTTGATTATATTAGCCATTTCCGCAGTATGTTCCGGTGAGAAAGGAGTACATTGCGTTACGTAGACATAATGTAAATATTTTAAGCGGTATAGATTCGAGTGTGATCGGTCGGAAATTTGAGGGAATACTCGTGTTGTTTTTCTTATGAATAAGTATAGTGCAAGCTTTTTTCCATTCACTCGGGACACAGGAGGCCCAGGCTCGATTTGCCCGCGCCCGCCTGTGCCTTCCTTATAACGAGGGAAGGACGGAGACATTGAGACCAAAATAGCCCAGACTTGGCATATGTCACACGAAACTATCCTCGATTTTTCGCTTTTAATGCATTTCTTTCACGATTAATCGATATCCCCTGCAAGAATGATACCGTATAACTCTCAAAACAACGATGCTTTAATCAAAGAGCTTAAATTCGCTCGGAAATCCGTGAGGGAATAACAAAATTCGGCCAAAATATATCCGCGTGCCCGGTTTGCTGTGCAAAAAGCGGAAGTCGTTGAACAACTCAAAAACACTCAACCCTGATTGGACAACGAATTTCAACAAACATTTCAAATTTTTTTAACGGTACTGTTATAATTTCAATCATACAATCAAAACTATTCACAAACGTTATAAAGTGTAAATATTACTGCAAGTATATAAAACTGTAGTACGTTAATATGTATAATAAATTGTATTTCACATTGTGTTTGTTAAAAAAATTTGAAATGTTTGTTGAAATTCGTTGTCCAATCAGGGTTGAGTGTTTTTGAGTTGTTCAACGACTTCCGCTTTTTGCACAGCAAACCGGGCACGCGGATATATTTTGGCCGAATTTTGTTATTCCCTCACGGATTTCAGAGCGAATTTAAGCTCTTTGATTAAAGCATCGTTGTTTTGAGAGTTATACGGTATCATTCTTGCAGGGGATATCGATTAATCGTGAAGGAAATGCATTAAAAGCGAAAAATCGAGGATAGTTTCGTGTGACATATGCCAAGTCTGGGCTATTTTGGTCTCAATGTCTCCGTCCTTCCCTCGTTATAAGGAAGGCACAGGCGGGCGCGGGCAAATCGAGCCTGGGCCTCCTGTGGTTGTATCCCAACCAACGTAAGCTTTTGCCATTCAAAAATTGTATATCTCCGTCAGCGAAAGTCAGACAAGTATCACTGCATATATTTTACATGTGTGGTAGTTACGATTCCGTTCTTCACTCAGCAAAATTTTCATCCGAATTGAACCGACATTTTATCAATTTGTTGGTCCACAAATTATTAGGTCCACAATTTCTCGTAAAGGAATTATCCTACAGTGACACACACACACAAACGAAGGTGACAACACAAGTTCCTGGCGCAGGTAAATATGACTGTATCTAAAACTATTTAATCCCTATATTTCTTTATAGGCGTGTGTTACTGACTTGTTTAAAGAATGGGGAATTCAAAGTGGAATAAAAGAAGATTATGTTAAAGAAATGTAAGTGCCATTCAACAATAAGAGATAGAACTAATAGAACTATCTATAATATAAATAAAGTCAGTTTTGTTTAGGTTTCCTCCTGTAGTAACACTCGACCAATAAGAGATGACCCTTGCTGGACCTCTAGGAAGAATAATTTAGAAATTATAGAGCTATAGAACTATCCAGTTTAAATGAAGTTTGTTTAGTTTAGGTTTCCTCCTGTAGTAACACTGGATCAATAAGAGATGATTCTTACTGGACTTCTAGGAAGAACACTTTAGAACTCATAGAACTATCCAGTATAAATAAATAAAGTTAATTGAGTGGCTGGATGAAAGTCGATTTAATATAAACTCTTTACGTACTGTTCATTTACCCTTGACCGGAGTAAAATCGTTTGGCGTTAGCCGGAATATGTATTGATTAAAGTGCGACCACAATCTCGAATAAAATTTTTGGTATATGTGTAATATTTGCATCATTCTAAAAATAGATGTAATATATTTTTATAGTAAAAAACCTCATCTTGATCAACTGTATCACTGCCAAAGTTGCCGGATATGACGTTCTAACATGAATCGCAAATTAGTCTCCTTTTGAGTTTTTTGCTCCAAAAATTCATGTAATGACATCATATCCGGTAGGTTTGCCAGTGAAACTCAGTATTAACACATGCATGAGTCAGTTCTCACAAAGATTTCTTACAAATCCTTCAACACTTAGAATTTACCCATGCAAAATTCCAACTGTGATCACAGAAACTTTGATAGTGTATAAACCTGCCTTTATTAGAATGTCCCACATATTACATCTACTAAAACGTTTTGTGGTCAGCGTCACCTTAACAAGTACTAGATAAAACATGAGCAGATACAGGTTCGGATGCGAATGTTTTATCGTACTTAAAAAATGACCCATCTTATGAGTTCATTGGCGAAGTAATTTTAAAAATAAACATTGTCTAAGCCGGGAAAATCAAAGCTGAAGTTTATATAAATCAGGACAAATCTTTATCCGATTTACAAACATTGATTAAACATTCATTTCTTTTGTATTTTCCTTGTGAATTATTAATGATTTTTTTAAATATAGATAAGATTTTGCCGTAGTCTGTTCAGTTATAGATACACAGGGCGCTTTCCATTTAATGGCCTGACCGGTCAGACTCGAATTCTTTTCTCTGTATCAATGGAAAGATCTGGTCTATGTTTCTCAAATATCTAGCGAAAATGGACCTCATTCTAATGTTATCAAAATGTTCGGGTCACATAGGTCCGAAGCCCAAATGTTTTGTGTTCCATTCAACAATTTGACCGTTCTGATCGTGTTAGTAGAGAGTTTGGCAAATACAAGGACAACGGCAACGGCAATATGGTCATCAACAATAGCATTAATCCTCAAAGACAAAGGCGAATGTAAATTACATGGTCTTAAGCGTTGTGCAATGCCGTAGTTGTTGAAACTAATACGTGTTTGCATCATCTTCACGGTGCACGACTACGGCAACAGTTAATTCGTTCGATGTTATTTGAGAGTTTTATTTGATTTCGCGGACTATTTTTACTTAAGGGTACGTTTGAAAGAAACAGGAATACTTACAGAGGCAAATTAAGTGTAGTAACGTATACTTTGGCTCAAATACAACAATATAAGCAATTATATTTTCCCCGTTGCCGTTCTAGGTTGCCAAACTAGGGAGCTTTAGATTTGACTACGAGTACGACTACGAGTACGAGGTTCGTCAAGCTAAACGCATGCTGTATGCTTACGCCATCCCGTGCTGACGCTAAAAAGTCGTAGCCGTCGCCCATCTGAGTACGAAATTGTGGAGAAACCTCGTAGTCCTCACGACGACTTTTAAAAAAAAACAAAGAAAGTTGACTTTTTTTTGTTTTCCAAAAATAATTTGTAGCATTTATATAGCGTTTATCCGGTGCAAATAATATATTAGTGCTAAATATCTGACCTGTTTTTAATGTTATGACTTATTTACACGTTTTGTAGGGGATTTTAGTCGGCAGGAGATTTACTTTATGAAACTTTTTCTCTAGTTGTTGGTTTACTGTTATAAAAGCAACATTTGAATGGAAACGAAAACGACTACGGTAATTTCCTCGCACGCGATCAAATCTCGTACTCGTAGTCGTACTCGTAGTCAAATCTAAAGCTCCCTACTCTCTAATGGAGCGTCCACAGTATGACGTCATAATCTGTGAAGAACAAAAAAATGGGCACGAGCCACCGAGGCGAGTGGGTCACTTTTTTCTGTTCCCACATGATGTCATATACCGGTGTATCTATAACTGAACATGCAACGGTAAAATCTTATCTATCTGTTTTATATACTAAAAAGAAAACCGCCCGAATTAAACAGGTATAAATGGTTTGCGTTTTATCCACCCAAACATTTGGAAATTTGAAAATGTCGAAAATTAAAAATTTACAAATATCACGCGTACGTGATCTATACAAATAAGGGGATGCTATTGGCTACCTTAATTAATTGTGACGCATAATTCCGTGCATCTGTCCTCTGATAGATCGTGACTCACGAAAGCGCTTGAATTCGTAACATTATTATATAATATTAGGGAGTCTAAGCTTCACGTTTACCGGAACGGCATGCAATGCCGAATTTTCTTGGCATAATTTTCGTTCGATTCCTGCGTGTCATATTCTCTTTCATATGACACAGGAATAGTTAAAGATGATGTCCACCCCTGTGCACATGCGCGAACTTTGTTTACGTTTTGAACTGCTCAATTTGTAAAATATGATATACTAACTGAATATCTAACACTTTTCTGGTTCACTATACGTGTAAATGAATATAAACTATATACGTTTCAATTCAAAAAAGTTCGAAAGATGCAAAATTTGGGCAATGTTTATATCTGGGGGTCCCCCCTTCGTTATGAGCAGAACTGATGCGCAGAACGGGGTGGACATCATCTTTCTAGTTATAAAACAACACGCCCTTTTACTTTTTATTGCTTTATAGCGTAAAGTTTTTCTTTGTCGTTGAACGCGACGCTTGAGCCCTCTAATATCTTGTTTTATGTTTCAGATGCCGTTACGGAGCTTGCGAACTTCACACAGTCGCGTCATTCATAGGAGGAGCGGCCGCGCACGAAGTAGTCAAACTTATAACTCATCAATATGTTCCGTTTCATGACTGTTATATCTACAATGCAATGACTGGCTCGTCTGTAACGCTGAAATTTTAAATGCAACTGTTCTGAACAGCAGTATAAAACTACTGTATATGAAACATACTTGTTCAGTATAAAAGTACATGATACTACATCCAGGGTACTCGTACATATATACTAGCGTCCTGATTATACATGAGTATAAAACGTTTACAGTATTTAAACGATACAGTATAATACTACTTACTGCAAAATATTTGTACTGAAAAGACGAAATTAGCTACGGCAAAAGTCATTTGTATAATAAAGTAGAATTAAATTCCATGCTGTCAACTGAAGGAATCCATATGCTATATATGACTATAGGTCAAGTTTTAAATAATGAAAATGAAGACCACATATTATATAGCCTGACTTATTTAATATTGTACTGCATGTAAAAATCTGATTAATTGATTTGAAATGATGCCTCATAGATTGTTTTCGTACTATTCGCAAATTATGATTTTTTTCTGTGTTGGTGTAATGTACTCTGGTGAATATGATGTTTGTGATGTTACTCTGAGTGTATATCCACACCGGGCAAGCTTGAAAAATATGCCTGGCCACGGTGGGAATCAAACCTACGACCTTTGGAATACTATCCCAATGCTCCGCCAACTGAGCTACGCGCGGTCAGGTCGGTTCTCGGAACCGAGTCTAGTTCCTTCGATATCAATGTAATCTCTTGTAATAATGATTTTTTCTGTGTTGGTGTAATGTACTCGGGTGAATAAGATGCTTGTGATGATTCGCAAATTATGTATAGGTTATTTTGAGGCAACGAGGGGATATGTGATTTATTCACCGAGGCGCGCAGCGCCGAGGTGAATAAACACATATCCCCGAGGTGCCTCAAAATAACGTACTTATTTTTCACACTGCGAGGTCGCGTTAGTGAGTCAGAAAAGAAATAATTCTTAATACCATATTGCCTTCGCGATGTTGTTGTTTCTCATTTTTTGTGCTGCAAAGACATTGCAGGTGAATATTAGAGGGGATTATTAATTGCTGGTGAATATTAGAGGGGATTATTAAACGGAAATTGATTAGAGGGGAATATTGAATATATTCCCCGACAAGAACAAAGGAAACCGAGCAGGGTGAAAAATAAGTTACTATATAGCGCCCAGTTACAACCCCTCAAGTAATTTCTGAAAGCGTTAGAATGATAGCCGGTTAAAAGTGTGTAACAAAGCTGTGACAATTATTTTTCGACCATATATAGCATTGGTATATATAGGTTATAAATTCAACCATATGTATACTGCATGAAATTCAAGGCAAAACAAGTTTAAAGAATTGAGATTTCCACTCTACAAAAGGTGGTGATATATTATTTGCAATTATTAAGAATTCGAAATACTCCGTCTGGCGCTGCGACAGTATGTCGCTATGCCATGAGTGGTCAACGTACAAGGAAGTTGACCTTTCTGCAGTGTTTACGCATTTCGTGGACTGAAGCTATGAAAAAGCAATTAAGAGATTCCGGCATTATCAGCATGGGACTTCCATTTTATTAATATCGTTCTTCTTCCGTATTAAAGCGCCCAACCTCTTCGTGTCAACGCGTTGAAGATACAAAGCCGGACGACAGGGTATTATTTCCTGATCAATACAGTTGGGCTATAGAAACTACGTGTGGCCTTAAACAGTAATTAGCCAGCTTTAGCTGTTCCAAATATTTTTCTATACGAGTTAAATTCTGTTATACAGGGAGACTGCCCCCGAACATAATGCAACGGCTATACATATAATTCTATGTTCCAAATTTTCACACTTAGAAATCAAATCTATTTTAGAACTATATTAGTGACGATGAAACGAACTCAACCCCAACTTGTACACTATACCAGAATTCATATTTAATAACTCTAAGATTATAGCCAGGTCTGATCAGCCATTCAACATTTTAAACCTAAACTCAATCACGGAACTAAGGCATCAAAAGACCTCGTAACATTTAACTAATCCTTCTATGAATATAATCTCTTCTATATGTTTGTATATGTCAAATTGCTTTAATCTTCCCCGTTTCCTGATAATCAGCTAAAACATAGTCGAAAGCTAGAACTATATATATTAAAATGTTCCTTATGGGTGTTGTATTACAGTAATTAGCCAGCTTTATATAGCTCTTCCAAGAGTTAAATTCCAATTCTATTATACAATGTGTTCTCCCCCCTAAAAAAAAGGCAATATAGCAAACAAATTACTTAGAATATATAAAACATATTATGCCATTTACCAGTTATAATTGGTCAAAATTTGTTAGGACATCGAAGCAATTCTTGGCTATACCATTCCCCTCCCTAACCCACCCAAATAGTCCGTTGTATAGCGTAAAACATTCGGTCTAAGGATGGTAGTGCACGGATCCAAAATACCCATGCAAGATGAATAAGTTCCCATTTATTTGGTCAAGATTATAGATATTTTCCGCCGGGATCTCAGTAAACCTTGTATTGCTGCACCATGCAGAGGCTTTGTGTTTTGTTTTGGATTTTTGCAGGCGGGATAGTCGAAGTTTAGTCGAGATTTTCGAAGTTTTGCAGGCGGGATAGTCGCGGGCTAGGCAGGCTAAGGGAAAATTCACCGCATTAAATTACGCTGTTCGTTTTCGAACTCGTTTAAATCGCAATGTTGACAACTTCTTTTATCGTAAGGAACATTGCTATGTTCCAGAATTTCACACAGCTATTCTTTGGTGAAGTCCTAAGAAATTAAATTTGACACCAACATTATTAAAATGCAGTACTGGCACTAGTATAGAACCATGTTATGGCTGAATGATTGTAAGTTTGGTTCGCCCAGTGCCATGGACCATGCACTTATACATACTTACGTTAGGGACTGGTCATAAAGTAACTGCTAGGGTGGGCTGGAGGTAAATCACAAATTTTGCCAATAAGTTTGGTGACCCATCTTAGGATGTAGATAAAAATTTCAAAGCCCATCTAATCTTACCAAATTTATTTCATGACCCACCTGATCTAAATTGGGAAAATACAATTTTATAATAAAAAAAACTTGCAGGTATGAACATTGTAAATATACACTGGCACTGTATTGACATACATAGTTCGACCAAACATGACCAACACATTCATCACCAATTACGATACTGAGCTATTCTCCAGTTGGTTGTATTTGCTGTGATTCGACCACTTCTTCTTGTTGTATAAAACAAAGTACTGGCTTCAATAGTTTTGTTTACTTTTATTATTAATATCTTTATGTAATATATAATTAACATGGGTTTTTGTTTGCTGGCCCAATCCGTGGACATACCAAAAAATTGGCGGCCCATCGAAACTGCCCAAAGATTTTCCATGGCCCATCCCAAATCACTCCAGCCCACCCTAGCAGTCACTTTATGACCGGTCCCTTAACTTAGACGAACAACGTCACTGTTCGTCTTTCCTAAATTTTTTTGTCTCCAAATGTTCCAAAGCACTTGAAATTATGACGTATTTAAGAAGAAGACACTGGGTATTATACATGCAGGAAATCAGTTGAACAGCAACGACTATATACGTGTATCTTAAGTCTTGATGTGAGGACGGTTTAGAAGTGAAACTGAAACGTTTTCAATTGCTTTGATTTTGTCTTTTTAAAGATTCTTTCAAGCACAAGTGTTTAGTTTGAAGTCCTCATTTATAACTGAGACACTCGTGTTGCGCTCAGCTTTCGAGTTGCATCCGGCGTATATTTAGACATACAAACCGCTTCTTTGTGACATACGAAAGTATTTCACTTAGTTTAACTATGACTTCGTCTAGTTACAAAAACAAGTCTGGTTCTACTCTGATACTGTGAAGGACAAATAAAGGTCAATGTCAACCCAGCTGGTTGTATTAAACTATTAGACTTTTCCATCACGAGCCAATACTGGTCCGCAATTTTTGCAGGTATTGTCTAAGTGATACAATGTCAGAGAATGTAGACAATCTAAACAATGTGAAAAGCGACTTTTCAAAGCTGTTACTGTAAATTGGGAGAGGCAGTACCCTCCCAACACACTAAGTCAATACAGGCAGTACTAAAATTATTGTTGCTCGATTTTATCCAACCCCCTACGAGTTTTGAAAGATACTGTTATTTGGAACACATCATATTTGCGTTAAATTTCATTTCAATTTCCTGTAAGTAAGCTACATGTAGTGTCTTGGAATTTAATTAATATTTTTCTGACCTTCATTCATGGTCATCCTGACCATATGGCAAAAAGCTAAATAACAGCTCTTTCCTCTATGTAAAAATTGAATTGTTTAGCCAAGTTTATGATGCACGACAGCCTGCCTGTTGAATTTCCATTGCGTTTTTTTTAGACACCCTGACCTGAATACTTCACCAAGACCATGCAGCATTTGAAAATTTGAATTTATTGTTTGCTAGATTTGAATTTCTTTCAGTCTGGCAAATATCATGCAGATCTTACTTAGGGCCTATAATACTTAAATATTGTATATTGATACAAAAAAAAATCAGTAATTCACGTCATTTTTGTCACTGTCCGACACTGATATCGCTTTTTTGTCCCGCTATTTTAACAATTGTTGCATTGGGGCGGCAATGATTAATATTCTAATAAATTCTGACCCCACTAAAGGCACAAGTATATATAATATACAGGTTATCATAATCGGGACGAGGTAATATTAGTTTTATCGCAGTTTCAGGACGATATCATAAAGAGAGTTTAAGCTTCGCGTTATACGTCAAACGGCAAACGCCAGGCAAAGAAAAATTTTACGGTATCAGGCAAAAAAGAGTAAATGAACTTGCTGTTTTAAAACTGCAATGCATAATTATTCATTTGGCACAAGAAAGAAAATATGAAACGAAAACGTTCAACGAGAACTTTGCCAAGAAAGTTCGAACCTGCCGTTTGCTCTTAAACTCCCTGATGACATCATCCCTCGAGCTGCGATGATTAAAAGTCAAGATCAAAGCAATTTGAAATCCAATTATTTCTTCTTCAATGACCGCTCCCTGGGAAGAACATGTTATCCCTCAACGCACGGCTGTTGTCGAAAACATTCAAAACATTTATGAATTAAAAAAACTTACAGCCTAAGTGACTCTTAGCAAATCTCAAACAAGCTTTGTATTGCGCTGTCGTAAAACCATGTGGGATGCAGCTAATTTACGTTTTGAGTACACTTGGCAATTATCGGTGGTGGGCGGTATCACGCACAGAAACATGACTGTTTAAAACAAGAATAAAGAATCTCTACAGGAAATGGCCATTACAAACACGCTTCATCAATATGCATGCAGGAACCACATTCTGAGAAATAGCCTATACTTTCCTTTCGAATACGTAATCTCTTGGCAAGATTTGACCTTCCTTGATTTTTTAAGTTTCAAAACTCTCAGGTACAACTTCTGAGGTAAAAATTATTTTTAAACCGTTAAGGAAACACCTGAGTTGCTAAGAGATACCAAACATCTCAATCCTCACACGAAAAAGCAAAAAGTTCGTTGTCTCCAGCGAAATGACCTGACTAATTAGTCTTAAACACTGATCGAATGAGTTTCCTGAAACATTTCTTACAAATCCTTCAAAAGTTAGAATTTACCTTTGCAAAATAGTTCCCATACTGTATTCGTAGAAACTTTGATAGTTATATAGGACGTACAGTGTCTTACTATTTTGAAATGCATGTGGTTGGTATAATGTTAGTTATATATACATTCATGTCAAGTTATAGTACAAATTGTACAAGATAACTGTAAAACTAATGACGAACCTTTATTGCACGGAAAATCGATTTAAAATTAATATCATTATCATCATTTTGTCCATTAAAATATAATTACAGAGATCTATTCTATATGCATAAATTTGAATGCAGTAAAAACATTAAATAAAAAATAAAGGGTGTTATAAAGAAGAATGGTGCTCCCTCATGCAAAGACCACGCATGCAATAGACAATTACATTATAGACTAATTTTAAAACTAGGCAAGGAGATGCAAATAAATCACCACAGCTAGAAAGAGCATACTAAAATTAATAAAATTACAAAATTTGGTTGCGAAATGTTGTAAAATGTGGAAAATATAGCCTTGCAAAGTTCGCAAATTTTGTATACTTTTGTATTGCGTGCGACCATTTTCGGCCTAAATGTGGTAGGAATGTGGTAGGAATTTCCGCAAGCAATACAAAAGTATACAAAATTTGCGAACTTTGCAAGGCTATATTTTCCTCATTTTACAACAATTCGCAACCAAACTTTGTAATTTTACTAATTTTAGTATGCTCTTTCTAGCTGTGGTGATTTATTTGAGTTTCCTTGCCTAATTTTAAAATTAGTCTATAATGGAATTGTCTATTAATTAAACACTTGCCCATGTATATTGCCCAATGGTATTATATTTATGGTACGGTATGGTTAACTTTATTTCACCAAGGGTAACCGATTCTGCTAATGGCTTGTATCGATTCAAGCCCTGACTAGACTAGTGCAAACAGACTTCGACCCAGCCTGTGTCTGACCTACTAGACAGAACATCTGTGTGCACTCCGTTTGTTGGCTTATATATAGGCCTGTATGCCTCTTGTGTCAATGTATAAGCATGGCAATGTAAACGTATTAGAATTAATTATACTTACATAGATAATCATATAGTGCAATTAGTGTAAGTCAATTCAGTCCGGCACATGTACTCATCACAAAAACCAACTCTCACGCCTGTATTCTAAAAGCTCACTCACACTCAATGAGTGGAGGTTCAATCTGAGCTTCCCTTGAGTGTCAATGCTGTTTTTGAATAGCTGGAGGGTGAGCAGTCACATAGTATGGTACGACACTAACCCTCCAGCTATTCAAAAACAGCACTGACACTCGAGAGAAGCTCAGATTGGACTTCCACTCATTGAGTGTGAGTGAGCTTTTAGAATACGGGCGTCGCTTATTTTAATAGCGATTTATTTTAGCAAATTTTTGTTTATTTTTAGTTTAGTATTGTTCAAGTTTTTTTAGTTTGTTCTTTTATTGACAGCAATATATATAGTTTGTTTATATTGCATGTAGTGATCCTTGACTCGTGAGATTATCCTTGGCACTATCCCACTATATAAAACGTAACTTTTAGAGATAAAAAGCCATGTTTATAATCCTAGCCTCTTCCTGACCTGAGCCAGGACTATAGGCTATGGACCATGTATACAGAAATTAGGCTATATAAACGTCTTGAGCGAAGGCCCTTTGTTGGGAAGTTAGAAGCATGGAGCGACGAAGACGAAGGGCCTTCGCTCGAAACAGATCGAAGTTTTACTGAAATTTTCAGGTAGTTGCCGAATCGCTCGCAATCTGCAACTTCTGGTGTTATTATCACTATACCGACTGTCTTTAATATACTATTTTCTTGTCATACGTACGCTACATGTGCTCTATAGAAACGTTTTATGATTGGTAACCATGCAGAGGAAGTTTAGTGTAACTCTAGGCTTGATGTGTCTGTGCATGTGTCAGCGAGGCCGGTAGCTTAAAACATATCAAAGTAACTGGACATTACCCAAGGACAAATGAGAGTTAAATTCTGGTTAAATTTAGATGTAAATTGGATGAGAAATTAGCGAAAAATGTCTTGCTTTGCCCGGCAAAATAAACAGAATGCGCATGCAATTAGCCTGTTGTATAATTTAGGCACGATATACAATCAAAGTTACAGTGATCACAGTGGGAATTTTGTGTAGCGTATATATAGGTAAATTCTAAATTTTGAAGGATTTGTAAGAAATGTTTGAGGGAAGCTCACTCACACTCAATGAGTGGAGGTTCAATCTGAGCTTCTCTTGAGTGTCAATGCTGTTTTTGAATCAAGCTGGAGGGTTAGTGTCGTACCATACTATGTGACTGATCACTCTCCAGCTATACAAAAACAGCACTGACACTCAGGGGAAGCTCAGATTGAACCTCCACTCATCGAGTGTGAGTGAGCTTTTAGAATACAGGCATTAGTGTTAATACATGAGTCAGTTCCTTCAAATAGTTCTTACAAATCCTTCAAAACTTAGAATTTGATCACAGAGACTTTGTCTTTGATAGTGTATTAAAAACCAGATAATTACTGATACTGATAAGTCACTAGATAGTTGTTGCAAGTTTGAGTTTCTATATATGAAATTTATTGGTAATAATATAAAAGATACAACGCCCATGCACCCTGGTACGTGGTAGTATTGCATCAAAGTGGCGAATTACTGTGGGATACAAGTACATAATTGGTCATGCCGCAATTACCGACAAATATTTTAAGGATAAAGATTTTTTACAAAGGTTTGTTTTTGACCCACGTCAAGCGTCTAAATTCAATCTGTCGACGTGGTGGGGCGCTACGTATAGCGGGTTTGCGTCATAACGGAACTAGTAAACTACCGTTCAGCTTCGAGGGTCAATTATAAGACTTCCTAGCTTTATGCAAATTGCCTCGAAGCTCGAGTATTTATAACGCCGCGTTTGTCACTTCGAAGTTATAACAAAGTTCAGACGATCATACAGAAAACATCAACATTGTTGAAGAATTTTTAAACTTGGAAATAATGGCTTTCTCAATTGTAAGTATATATATATATCAGTACTGTAGCTATATATTCTCGTACACTGTTATAGTGTAATATTATAGGTATAGGTTTTGTAAGGTAGGTATAGGTATAGGTTCGAGGGTAGATTTTATATTTTATACTAAGGCAAAATCAGCACGTACATGGTTGTCAACCATGCAGCTTGTATAGCAATATCAATTGTATTGTGTCATTGGAAACAAAGTAATATTGATGAAATTGACAAATATATACTCTAATATTCTTGCTTCAATATTGATATATGATATTAACATGCAGCTTGTAAGGTGAACAGCACCTATAACCATCACCGCTCTGGGAAACATTTCTATAACATCAATACGAATATAATATCAGTACGATAAAATGGTATCTTACCTTTTATAGTTTGTCAGGATTTCATCATTCTTGTTTCGTATTTTTCGTAGCATATCTACAGTAAAACGAAAGGAATTTAAAGATTTTTGAAACAAAAAAACTAAAAGTACACTAATTCTTAAGAGTAAGAACCATATTCCTTGTCAAGTATATTGGTCCAGTGTCCAAGACAATAGTTCTGACGTGCATTTGAGGACAATTACATCGCAATTGATCGTGTGTATATTTCGTTGAACTAACGTACATATATTTGCTCAATTTCTTTAGACAAAGGGTACGATAGAATACAATATTGAAACAAATACCGCTAATAAAACTAATCTCATCATGCGAAACAATGTCGTGAAATCCGACGGAGACGACGCTGCCGATCCAGCAGGTAAAACGATGTCTCTTTATCATACCTAATTTTAGTGTGCAGTGATAACCAATTTGTGCAGTAATAAAAGTAAAATGTGCAGTGATAAAATGTAAAATGTGCAGTGATAAAATTTGCTTTGATAAGTTGTTAATTAACACAAGAGAATGATTCAATTGAAATTGAAATGATGACTGCCAAATTAGCGAATTAAATAATAGTATATGTTTTTTGCACGAAAATCATGAGATTCAGGCAATTTTTAGTTAATATCTGGCTTTTGGTATGTCCGCCAAAAAATTGGGGGGGGGGGGGTCGCCAAAAATTTCCGAATATTCTGAAATTTTCTTAGTCATTCGGAAATTTTTGGCATAAAATGTGCAGTGATAAAAAATTCTTAAAATTAGGTATGCTCTTTATAATATGACGAAACTAGTGCACAACATGAACGTTCATGAATGTACAATCGTTTTCAAATGTACGTGTTGGGATACATATCCCCAGACCAGGACATGTGGTCATCACGCATGTACTTTGAGATTATAAACTAAAAGGCGGTTAGGTCCTTCACCTCCAGGGCCGTAGGAAGCTCTTTTCGATTGGGGGGGGCTGAAAGCGAGGGCCGAAGGCCCGAGGAAATTTTTAAATTTAGAGTCTCTAAAATGCCATTTCCTGGACTTTGGGGGAAGATTTAACAGAATTCTGATAGTCAGAAAACAGCGTTTTAGTATGTCGAAATTTACAGGAAAGTATGGGCCAGACTGTAGTATTATAAATGCGCGGCGGGAATTTTCGTCGTAAATGGCAGTTGCGCGGAAATGAAGGCAGAACATTTGAGAAAATTTCGAAAATCTGGAGTCTCTAGATGGTCTGAAATGGCATTTTTCAGAGTTTTCTTTCGCAAGACCCAACACGCAAAAGACAAAATAAATCATTAGTTCATCAAAAATGTGCAGATTTTGTGGGATTTTCTTTGAAAATGCGCGACAGAAATTCAGCTAAAATTTCTACGCGAGGAACGATCTGGAGTATGAGTAATATCTTCATTCTTTGCAGTTTGTCACAGATTAAATGATAAAGTTTGCATGATTTTGAAAAAAGAATGATTATTAGCAAATTATTGGGGGGGCTGCAGCCCCCCCAGCCCCCCCCCCCCGGTTGCTACGGCCCTGACCTCATCACATGATTGTCAGAAATAAATTAAAACTAGATTAGGAAGATTAATTAATCTAGGTTAATTATATAATATGGATTATAGCCAGATATATACAAAATCTCAAATGCACGCAGGCCGTCACTCCAGGAATTAAATAAGTTCGTATGTGCCTACATGAGCCACAATTTTCAAATGCAATCTTTTGTTTTGCAGCCCAATTCTTTGTAGATACTGGAACGGACAACGTGAATGCAAATAATTTGCTCTATCGTTTCCGACCAGTCAGTCAACCGAACAAATATCTTGCCGTGTCAGGATCGAAGATCATTTTAAAGGTAAATATAGGATAATGATGTTAAGTTATATAATGTTGATTGGTATGTTTGCCCACTTCACACGAGCCATGCATGATACACGTGCTCGAAGACTAAAGCCTAAGGATCAGTTTTTGATAGGGCAGGAAAAATGTAAAGGCGCCCATTTTTTCCACTCAGGAAATTTTCCGCAGAAAGAAAATTTTGTAAGATGCGATTGGCCGACACAAATTTTCCGTCGGAAAAAAAAATTTTGAAGTTGAAAATTTTCAACTTTTAACAATGATATTTTCGGAAAATTTTCTGTCGTGGAAATTTTTCTTGAGTGGAAATGGCCCTTAAGAGTTTAAGATTGAAAACGAGGCTAGCCAGTCTCCTTTGTTATAAAACATAGCAGACTGAACTCCAGGCGGGCCGGTTGTTCAAAGTAAATCAACTTTAACCTGCTGTTTTAGATTGTGTATTTCTGCACGTCTGTTTATTTCAAAACTTCACTGAGAAACTCCTATCGATCCAAACAAGATCTCCGAAGAAATATTTCCAAATTTATAGACAAGCTGTCAGGAAGTTTGCTTTGAATTTTAGGTTAATGGTTCATGAAATTAATTTTGAGAGAAAAAGTATATCACGACCATTTTTCGAATCGCGATCTATGGACTGTATGTAAAGGTGTTTATCACACTAAGTAATGAATGTTTTTCCCGTTTAGGATGTTCCAAGTACAACCACACCGACTGATAGTTCACACGATTTTTATGTTTCTGCTGTCCCTCAAAACGGCAACTATCAGAAGTACTTGTACAGATATTCCGCGGTAAATAATCTGCTGTACATAAGTACTGACGGCAACGATAATGTCATCTTGGCAGGCGACTCGCCAAAGGCCTGGTTACGACTGCGTCAAGCTCCCATTGGGAACACGACGGTGGTGACGTTAACCGCAAGCGTGGAAGATTGCTTCGAGGGATTCCAGTATTCTGAGAAAATTTATAGTGGGGCAACTAATTCCAGTGCAACCGATCAGGAAGGGTCGTTTTATGGAAAAGTGGTCGTCAGTGAACGAATAAGCGTCTCTGAGGAATAACACGGATGCTATGAACATTATAAATTATTTAGCTGATATGAAAGATATATCAGTGGAACTATATTATTATACTAAGTTATTCTAAAATAAGTTATTTCAAACAAATATTTATTTGTATAAACATATATATTCATTATGTGAAATAATTTTCCAGTAATTTATATCAAAATCATGTGAATGTAGGTGTATCTAATACACGATACATTATATATATATATACAATTGTATTAGTATTTAATTCTAGTTAATAAGATAATCATGATGATTTCACAAATTAAATTTGTTTATCAACTCATCCTTGGATTTTTTTATTTGTTTTTCAATTTTAAAACATGAAAAAATGAGATATTAGGTAATTTCGCCAAAGAACTTTACCCACATAATTAAGGTAATTATCGAGAGACATTGTTTTTGAGTGAGTAAAAGGTTGGGTAAATGAAAAACAAAACAACTCAAGGGTTGGGTAATAAAAATTTATTGTCATTTCCAAAGCATGACTCACTCAAATATTGAAGACTAAAAAGCAGTGTCAACAGTCGTATGTCAACACAATAATGTAAATCAATCAGAGTCGCTATCTTAATCATTTTCCAATTGGTCAGGAGGCAAATGGTGTCTCCAAAGAAAGTACATGTGCAGACAACACGAAACTTTAGACAGCAGAAAATTGCACAAGCAGTTATCAAGCTCATGTCACAGAAGTGGTAAAGGACATGTGTGACAACTGAATGGTATCCTTTTGTAAAGTTTTTGGCCAGTGAAAGAACTTTTGAAACTATATATTAACTTCTTTTACCGAATTTTCATATCTTGCTTAGTTCTTGAAATATTTTCACTTGAAGTAATGATCGAGATGTATAAATGTTTGATCTCATTAACAGTAGTTTTGGTGACGTCACAACAGAGATTAACCATATAAAAGTATTCGTTGCTGACCAAATATTGATTGGTAGATGTTTTGAGTGATCTTGATATTTCGAAGGGTATAGACAGAGTCTAGATAAAAATATTGCGTGACCCCTGTTGTGACATGACGTGACACGTACTCTGTTTCATTCTCTACGTCTCGACTATATTTTCATTCATCTTCAGGAGAATATCACGTATTTTTCAAAGCCAACTATTTATCTAAATATAGTTGTCTATTTATTTATTTACTAAAATCGAGTCTACAAGGAATCGAGTTTTATGACGCATGCGACATTCGTATTATTAAACCTTACCCCTACCCTCAGTGACCTGGAGATGTCACCTGATACTTTGCAACTAATTAGCCATGCTCAAAAATACAAGTACTATGAAATAGGACTTTATTTATTTTAGGTAATATAGGCATCAAGACGATGGGCTTTTTAGTGTTGGTTCTAGATACAAACATTGTGCTAGCTTTCATTACTTTAATTGTTGTAATACTTTAATCATACATTTAATATCTGTTTTACTGCAAGGACACAAAATGTCTTTAAAAGCTTTGAAGACTGAATAATTATTATAGCTATAATATAATTATTATAATTATTATATAATCCAAAACCAAGACAGTAAATTTATTTTGATTTAATTTTGATCTGTCACAATCATTTACAAACAAACAAGATTGGTTACTGAGCGTCCCAACATTTAGTAACATTTAATAGTACGATGGAAACTAAATGTTAGCATAAATATATAACATCTGCGACACTGAATATCTTTCTTTCATAAGTTTTGGTAATAAAGTTGTATTTTGTTGCTTTTCCTGTAAAGTTGTTGTAAATTTTGATTTCAGAAGTTTTTAAATGTTAGTTAGATCGCGGAGATTTTGCAGGTTTTAGCATGATGGCAGCACTTTCCTTGCGATAGTAACTTCTAGTGTATTTATTTTATATATACGTATATTATATACTTCTTTTCTTCACAAACCCAATCCATTTATCTAAAATGTTTGAATATAAAAATGCATACAACCACAGATAACCTTTCTTCAAACTTTAATAAATACAGAACTATTTACAATTTCCCTATACTATATAATACTCCATGACGTATATTTTTTGTGTAATCCTATTTATAAAATAATGCCATAAAATATGTATAAAATTTATCATTTAGTATAAAAATATCTTGGTTTTTTTCAGGCTACTCTTCAACTAACGTGATTTCGGTCATTATGTCTATGAATGAATTGGTTGCAAATAATAATTCTTTGCTCTCGAAAAGGACAGTTTCCTGATCTTTCGGCAGCATGTGAAACCACGCTGCTCTCTCTGGTTTTGTCCTAGAGGCACCAAGTAATCCATTATATTCACAGAACAGGTAATACGTGGTCCCCGCCGTGTAAACAAAGAAGCTCATGTAATCTCCATTTTCGTGATGAATGTAAAATGACCTTTCTGATTCCGTGCACTCGCTTTTTGTCTGAAGTTGAGAGAAAAATGAAATCAGTATATTGATTTCTTTATAGCTTCAACCGACTTTATTTATACTGGATAGCTCTATCAGTTGTAAAATGTTCTTTCTAGAAGTCCAGTTTGGATCACCTCTTATTTATCTAGTGTTACTACAGGAGGAAACCTAAACTGAACTAACTTTATTTATACTGGATAGCTCTATCAGTTCTAAACTGTTCTTCCTAGAGGTCCAGTAAGAATCATCTCTTATTGATCTATGCAGTGTTACTACAAGAGGAAACCTAAACTGAACTAACTTTATTTATACTGGATAGCTCTATCAGTTCTAAACTGTTCTTCCTAGAGGTCCAGTAAGGATCATCTCTCATTGATCCATGCAGTGTTACTACAAGAGGAAACCTAAACCAAACTAACTTTATTCACACTGGATAGATCTATCACTATATAGTTCTAAACTGTTCTTCCTAGAGGTCCAGTACGAGTACTCTTATTGATCCAGTGTTACTACAGGAGGAAACTTAAACTAACTAACTTTATTTGTACTGGATAGCTCAGTTTATCAGTTCTAAACTGTTCTTCCTATAGAGGTCCAGTAAGGGTAATCTCTTATTGATCCATGCAGTGTTACTACAGGAGGAAACTTAAACTAAACTAACTTTATTTATACTGGGTAGCACTAGCTCTATCAGTTCTAAACTGTTCTCCCTAGAGGTCCAGTAAGGATCATCCTTAATTAATTGGTCCATACGGTTACTACAGGAGGAATTTATGTTTCCTCAGAGGAAACATAAACTAAACTAACTTAGTAATTTTATTTATGCTGGACACTTCATCATTTCTGAAATAATCTCCATATAGAGAACCAAGGAAGGCTATCTCATCGGTCCAGTGCTACTACAGAAGGGAAGCTTTGATGTGAATTAAGTGAAGCATTCTGCAATGTGTAATACCAACCTTTAAAGCAATTTCACCATTGATAACAGCAATATATTTGTCAGACTGGCTGTACGGTTTGAATTGATATTGTAATCTGTCTAGTTCCAAATCAGCTGCAGTTTCCACATAGAAATACACTGTGAAATAGAGAAATAAGTGAGTGGAACATTTTCTGGTGGAAATATATCATATTGCTTACTCCAGTATCCATTATTATTAAGTATAGAAAACGTTGCTCAAACACACCTCATGAGTCAGCATCACAATTCGAATTCAGTCATGCATGCATGCAAATTTAGTTAAGAAATAAATAAATTAAATAACAGTTAATTGCTATTATATATAATCATTATCTTTGATGAATTTAATGGTATTTGCGTAATTATTTAATAATGATTATCTATGATGAATTTAATGGTATAATTGTTGAAAATATTTATAAAATGTTGTGTACTATTTAAAACGAGAGCAGGAGTGTTTTATCACATATAAAACACGACGCGTAGCGGAGTGTTTTATATGTGATAAAACACGACTACAAGTGCTTTGAAATAGCTTAAAAAACGACTCATCTTATACGAGTTCATTGGCGAAGTAATTTTTTAAATAAACTTTGTCTAAGCCGAGAAAATCAAAGCTAAAGTTTATGTAAATTAACATGATTTTTTATCACATATAAAACCACGACACACTTATGATTTTTCTTTGTGTTTTGCTCCTGAATTATTAATGAGTTCTTTAATGTTATTTGAAACATTCTAAATATGTTACAACGCTGGAAACGCGATATATTCCAAAAATGCATGTCATACATTCCTGTATTCTGTCGTTCAACCAAATGGAACGGTGAAAGACAATATTGGAAAATGTTACATTTCTTTGGAAAACTACAATCTGGTCAGATGTTGTGGAACGAAGAGCTTGATTGCATGTACTTCTTGCTTTTCAACTTAAACAAGAGTACAAGACCCCCCTCCCCCCTTTCAATGTTGTATTGGTGCATATTTGTGTTGGTCAAGTAATGACACAAGCAAATATATTAACCACAAGAGCATTGTAAAGGGGGGAAGGGGGAGGTTGATTTTTCATTGCTAAGTATATCACAAACAAGCAAGTCTTGCATTGATTGTAGCATTGTTTTTTCAAACCGCTAAATTCTAATTCCGTCTCGGATTGCGGGATTGGACCTAATAAATCTTGATTGTTTAAAGGATTTGTAAGGGACCGTTTATTAGACCTATAACCATCGAAAAAAATGCAACTACATACTGACTCTTTTCACATAAATGTCACGAGTCCGTAGGACTATAGGAAGAAACGAATGCGCTAGCTGCCCTAACGAATGCGTCTGCATTTAAAAAGAAAACAAATCAGGCTTAGTCCGGATATGAAATATAAAACAAAAACCGAAAAATGAAAACATCTTGACAAACCCAATATTACAATATATATGCTTGTATAGTTGGGATATGCCAGCTAGTGGGTTAAGGAATGCTGTTCAGGTATTTGATAGTATCATATACACATTGTATATATTTGATCAATATACTAACCATTTGGCCGTCCTAATGACTCGAACGGATCTGCTGTGGCTGCAAGTATGCCGTTGTCTTCAATTTGTAATAAGAGGGAATGATTATATGACTTCAATGTGAACATAGATTGTTCCTATGCAAATAAACAAAAAATTGTCAAACAATTCGTAAACGTTCAATAAATATGATAAAATATCTTGTTAACTAGTAATTACTACCGCAAGTGAAGTGCTGCCTTAAAGCTGGAAATAAACGTTTAAAATTTGTCAAACAATTCGTAAACGTTCAATAAATATGATAAAATATTTTGTTAATTAGCCCTATCTAATTGCGGCTCGAACGGCATGGGGTAATTCAGTGAAGACTGAAGCCATGCAGTAAAGGAAATGTGAAGCTTCTGTAGTCCACCAGTTTGTGTCTGAACTACCGAAAAATATTCAAAAACTTGATCAAGAACTTAATCAGATATTCTCAAAAACTAAAGATCGCGGTAGAGTCTAGGGTAGACTAGATTTTAGGAAATTGATATAAATTCTCCAATGTAATGTATCTCATGAGAACAAAACTGTTTAAAATGACACCATTGGCATCGTGCATATTGTAATATATTGAGTTACGAGTTAATAGTTGATAATAAACTGAATGTCATGTACTTTACGGATATTGACATTATGAATCTGTCTATACATATATAGCAAAGTACACACAGTACGTTATTATTGCTTACCTTTCCAAAAGACGACATCTCGGTGTAATTAAAATACTCTTCTCCTCTTACTGCGAAAGTGATGATATTCTGTTCGAGCTGTTGTTGTATGAGTGAACTGCCACACGCGCTGAGATTTTATAACTAAAGTAAAGGTGGGCGGTAACGTTCATTAAATCCGCCTCTCATCTTACCAATGAATTACCACACCAGTTTCCGTACATCACAGGCAGGATGTTAAAAACAAAAAACGTGCCGCGAGTTTCGGCCAACAGCTTCCGTCTCGCCAATAATAGTTCCACAGCTTCGATGATGTCATTGGAAAATCACAAAGAAATCTTTAACTCAAAGACATTTGTTTATGGCTTCGAAAGTCGATCGAAGTGTAGATGACTTAACGGTTATTTCAAGATCTCTATCAAAATTTCTACGATTACAGTATAGAATTTTTGCAGAGGTAAATTCTAAGATTTGAAGGATTTGTTAGAAACGGTTAAACACTGCATCAGTTCCTTCAAACATTTCTTACAAATCCTTCAAAACTTAGAATTTACTATATATATATATATGCAAAATTCTTACTGTGATCACAGAAACTTTGATAGTGTATGCAAACCAATCTTTACGGAACTTTAATTTGTAGAGTCGGAACAGTCGAATACAGTCGGAACTTTAATTTGTAGAATAGTATATTCTTCTGTTGACAAAAAGATAAGTAGGAACAAAGGCTATCTCTTTCAATGATATTCCTAAATATTGAAGCCCGCGGCATATGACTACAAATTTTGGTGGGTACATGCATGTATTGTACACATAAACTTTGTGAATATATTTCACTTAATAGATTGAAGGCGTATATCATTTGAAGATATCATATTACATCATTAATCTAATATAATTATTTCTTGGAATTTTTACCGACCTTCAGATGCACAAATATAATGCATATATATATTGTACATATTTCGTTAATGTATACATATATGTTGTGAAATATATACTGTACAACGAAACGTAAGCAAATACATTTTATTCTTTATTATTATGTCTTGTTTGAAAGTCATGTGGCTGGGCTTTAATATTTATCTCCGTGTTAATTGACCACTTGCGTAATAGACTAAATTTTGATCTAGACAAAAATTTCATCACAGCTTGAAAGAGCATCACAAAATTAGTAATATTCCAAAGTCTGAAGTTTATAGCATAAATTATGAAGAATGTTTTCAGCACGCTCTATCGCAGCACAACTTATTTTTAGTACATGACGATACGTGCTTAGGATAGCTCTATCAAAGGACATCTCTTATTCACGATTACTTTATCAGTTCTCGGAACTCTAAATGTTACTACAGGAGGGAACCTGATCATGAACTAAGTTGTCAGTATTTCAGTATTGGACAGCTCGGACAGCTCTATCAGTTCTAAACTGTTCTCCCTGCAAAAGAGCTAATCATTTCCAGTTTCTATGTGTGCATGAAACGTGACTATCCATTATGGCTCGAAAATTCAAAGATCATAGCCAGCACCCAAGTTCATAGCCAGCACCCAAGTTCATAGCCAGCACCCAAGTCATAACCAGCACCCAAGTTCATAGCCAGCACCCAAGTGTCCGCAACATCTGAAGTCGGGGCTGCCTAGGAGGGCCGACACATCGTAAAACAACAGAAGAATGGCTCAATGGGGGTCGAAACTGCGACGTGCTTTCTCTTGAAGATATTCCGGCACTTCATTCCTGTTGCAGGACTTCCATTTTGCACTAAAGTTACAATTTATGATCTAAAGTCTGGTTTCCATATGGTGGTAAAAATCAGAGTAACGACCTTTCTCAACGGCCAGTTTATAACAGTTTATACCTGTAAACTACATATAAATCATATAAGTATTCTCTAGTTATAATATGTGCTTTATTTATACAGGATAGCTCTATCACACGACATCTCTTATTCGCGATAACTTTATCAGTTCTCGGAACTCTATATCTACAATGTTACTACAGGAGGGAACCTGAACTAAGTTTATTTCAGTATTCGGGACTGCTCGGACAGTTCTATATCAGTTCTAAACTGTTCTTCTTACAAAAGAGGAAACCTAACTAACTTTATTTATATGGATAGCTCTATAAGTTCTAAACTGTTCTCTCTAGAGGACCAGTAAGGATCATCTCTTATTGATCCGGTGTTACTACAGGAGGAAACTTAATTTATTTATACTGGATAGCTCTATCAGTTCTAAACTGTTCTTCCTAGAGGTCCAGTAAGGATCATCTCTTATTGATCCAGTGTTACTACAGGAGGAAACCTACTAACTGAACTAACTTTATTTATACTGGATGGATCTATCAGTTCTAAACTGTTCTTCCTGGAGATCCAGTAAGGATCATCTCTTAACTTATTGATCCAGTGTTACTACAGGAGGAAACCTAAACTAAACTAATTTTATTTATACTGGATAGTTCTATCAGTTCTAAACTGTTCTCCCTAGAGGTCCAGTAAGGATCATCCCTTATTGATCCAGTGTTATATAATTTGAGAAAAAATTGCACGCGTCCATCTTCCATCGCTTTCAAATTAAAACAAACAAAAAAGAAAATTATACTAGATATACGTGAGTCAAATGAACATTCGCTATACACAAAAGCGTTTCAATTTGCTAGTGTAAATTTATATATATAACACCTGTCTGCGCCTATAGACGTATATATAAATATCACTGAGGCAACGTGATATTTCTTCTTGATAATTAGACAGATCTCAGGCAGGTGATATAGAAATAATTTATGAGTTGTTCTTTATACCACCAGCTGCGCTCGGCCAATCAGCGGGCAGAATCCACAGAGATTTAAGTATGGGTTCCGTTCCACGCTACTAAGTTTGGATTGTTTATACTTTGCAAGAGCAAGCAGAACCAACTATATTTATAGTGGATACAGCTCAGGTTTAAACTTTTCTCCCCAGAGGTCCTGTGCAAGTCATCTCTTATTGATCTAGTGTTACTACAGGAGGAAACCTAAACTAAACTAATTTTATTTATACTGGAAAGCTCTATCAGTTCCAAACTATTCTCCCTAGAGGTCCAGTAAGGATCATCTCTTATTGATCTAGTGTTAATTTTGAGGTAAAACTATCTCCATGTATATGGAAGGCATTTTTGAGAGCGCGTAAATTTTTCCTCCAGGGACAAAATGCAAATCTTCAAAAACAAACAGTTCAAAGCAAAAGCATGTAAGTATAACTGAAATAACGTCTATCAACATTGAAACGCATTAGGGCATGGCAATGAATCAGGAGAGAAGATAAACGAGAAGCATTAGACTGCGAGATCAGGCTTTGTTCCCTGCAATATGTGCACTTGTCTGATTATAATTTCGCATCAGTCGCATGTGAAGATACTGTCCGCATTTTGACTCTACCTAACACCACATGTTTTCCCCAGGTATAACCAATAAGAGATGGCCCTTGCTGGACCTCTAGGGAGAACAGTTTAGAGAGCTATCCAGTATAAATAAAGTTATTTAGTTCAGGTTTCCTCCTGTAGTAACACTGGATCAATAAGAGATGATCCTTACTGGACCTCTAGGAAGAACAGTTTAGAACTGATAGAGCTACCCAGTATAAATAAAGTTAGTTCAGTTTAGGTTTTCTCCTGTAGTAACACTGGATCAAAAAGGGATGATCCTTACTGAAACTCTAGGGAGAACAGTTTAGAACTGATATAGCTATCCAGTATAAAGTTATTTTAGTTTAGATTTCCTCCTGCAGTAACTCGGGATCAATAAGAGATAATCCTTACTGGACCTCTGGTCCTCTATAGGAAGAACAGTTTAGAACTGATAGAGGTATCCAGTATAAATAAAGTTAGTTTAGTTATAGGTTTCCCCCCTTTAGTGACACTGCATGGATCAATAAGAGATGATCCTTACTGGACCTCTAGGAAGAACAGTTTAGAACTAATAGAGCTATCCAGTATAAATAAAGTTAGTTTAGGTTTCCTCCTGTAGTAACACTGCGTCAATAAGGATGATCCTTACTGGACCTCTAGAGAGAACAGTTTTAGGTTCCTCCTCTAGTGACACTGGATCAACAAGAGATGATCGTTACTGGATCTCTAGGAGAGCAGTGTCGACAGAAATGATAGAGCTAAAATACCGTTGTGCTAAGTGGTTATATTACTACCTTAAAAAATAAGCAGAAACTCACGTTTCGAGCGAAGGCCGTTCGTCAAGAGTTATAACTCATCATAAAAAAACCTGCGCAGATATTTGCAGAACCAAAATATATCTGCATGCATAATTTAGCTGAACAGAATCAGAATGTATTCCAACAATAGATCTCAATTTTAACATCTTGGCACAAAATAGATTAAGATTTTAAAAGAAAGAGAATTCCAAATTGAACTTAAATATATGTTGGCAACCATTTCCATATATCTTCATTGCAATTTAGTCCAATATAGTTAATTGAGGTTACATTATATGTGATATTTGTCTGAACTACCTGAAAATTTTTTTTCAATATTTGAGAGTTCATAATGTCTCATGTCAGTCTTGCATTGGGAAAATTTGCGATCAAGTGGAACGTTTCTAAATTAAAAACTTCCGCAATTAGAATGTTTCGAGTTAAAAACTTATACAATTATATAAGCGCCCTGGTTGCGACCAACAGGCTTTCACTTTACTCTTTAGTTCAAAATATCGGAGATTTTTCGAAGTCAAGGACTTTAGTCCTGAGATGAGGACGTTTTCCTTGACAAGTTTACCTTCTCATGTGTACAGTCAACAAGTCTTCCTTGACAAGTTTACTCGTGTGTACAGTCAACAAGTCTTCCTTGACAAGTTTACTCGTGTGTACAGTTAACAAGTTTTCCTTGACAAGTTTACCTTCTCGTGTGTACAGTCAACAAGTTTTCCTTGACAATTAGTTTACTTTCTCGTGTGTACAGTCAACAAGTTTTCCTTGACAATTAGTTTACTTTCTCGTGTGTACAGTCAACAAGTCTTCCTTGACAAGTTTACTCGTGTGTACAGTCAACAAGTCTTCCTTGACAAGTTTACTCGTATGTACAGTCAACAAGTTTTCCTTGACAAATTTACTTTCTCGTGTGTACAGTCAACAAGTCTTCCTTGACAAGTTTACTCGTATGTACAGTCAACAAGTTTTCCTTGACAAGTTTACTCGTGTGTACACAAATTTTCCAAAAGTTGGCATGACCAGCTTTGGAACAAGACTTCATGGCAAGGGAAACTTGTCAATTTTTTGCCATACACACGAGCAAATAAAATTTGTCAAGGAAAAACTGCGAAGGGAAACTAGCTCCTCTGTATCGGGCTTGCAATGCCTCTGTTGTTAGCTCGACCAGTTCGAGGATTAAGCCGGTCACAGCGAGCACGTTTTCTATGACAAGTTTTTATATGACAAGTTTTATTTGCCAAGTGCACGTGTGTATATGCAACAAATTTTATATGACAAGTTTTCATATGACAAGTTTTATTTACTGGTGTGAACGTGTCAACAAGTTTACTTTGACAATTTATCAGTATGGCGCTGGCCAATCACATCACAAATGCTCAGAGCGCACTTGTCATAGAAGAAATTGTCAAAGTTGCGCGTACAGACGAGCAAATAAACTGACTTCTCACATAAAAACTTGTCATAGAAAACTTGCTCGTCTGTAACCGGCTTTATTTAGTTCATTGCACAGTGCGATGGCCCTAAGAAACTAGAGGATGATTTCATCTTTCGTTGACAACCGTATATGACCCGATCAATGATCATTGTCCTTACCCAACAATAATAGATGATGTGTAAATATACGGCTTAAAGCCCACAGTGCAAACATAAGATATGTACATATAGCAAAGCCGTCTTCATTATATTTTATTTATTTTACTCTGACTAATGTCAGACGGTATTATAACCTTAGAGGTTCAGGAGGAAACGTTAATTATACCAGATATTTCTATTATATTTTTCTAGTCTCTAGAGGCGTAGTAATGACTATCATCCTTGGTTTATCCAATTAAATGCCTGTCGATAGCTCGATCTATCAATTTTAAATATCAAGATTTTATTCATTCGAGTATTATTATTCATTCGAGTGAGATAGCACAAAAATCTTGATATTTACCCATAACCAAGGGTGGGTAGTAGCGAAGTAGTTGTAGTTCGCTACTGTAGCGAACTACAATTTTCAAGTAGCCAGTAGTTTTTGACTACTTTTTTAAAACTGTAGCTGTACTCTGTAGTTATATAGCGAACTACATTTTGCCTAAAAGTAGCCAAGTAGTTGACTACTTTTCAAACAGCAAATCGCTATTCGCTTAAAATCAATCCTCAATAGTCAATTATTTGCACTGCCGAACAGTGTACGTAGTGCTTACAAAAATGTTGGTTTGTGTTCACTGTTGCTATACTCGTAAGTCGATTTGTTATAGGTTATACATTACAGCCTGAGTTAGTAGATGCTTCAAAGACAGTAAAACTAAAAAATATAGTGTAGCGAAATAGCGAAATAGTTCGCTACATTTTTTAAGCAGTAGCTGTAGTCAGTAGCGAACTACCTTTGTTCAAAAGTAGCAGTAGTTGTAGCTGACTACATATTTTTGAAGTAGCTGTAGTTATAGCGAACTACAAAAAATTTGTAGTCAACCCACCCTTGCCCATAACCTACACATGACATGCATGGCAGTACCCTATAGTACATATATATGTACTGTACTCCGTTCTGGCATTAACTATTTCGCTGACCTCAGAATGACATTTCGTCAAAACTTTTTTCTTCAAGATTGGTTTAGAAACAAATTTGTAGTAGGGTTAGGTTACGGTAAGGATTAAGGTTAGAGTTAGTGTTTGAGTAGAGTTAGTGTTAGTAAAACCGTTGCTTTGTTACGTTTTGTCACTCTGAGCCTGGTTATAGGTGTAATAAATGTATATAAATTTCCACTCGACAATTTCCATTTACAATGCCCCATCAACCATCAATATTAAACCACTCTCCCTGGAGATTCATTACAGGAGGAAACCTAAACTAACTTTATTTATCTCAGTTGAGCAGCGTATAAAGTTAGTTTAGACTTTAGTTTAGGTTTCCTCTTGTAGTAACACTGGATCAATAAGAGATGATCCTTACTGGACCTCTAGGGAGAACAATTTACAACTGATAGAGCTATCCAGTATAAATAAAGTTAGTTTAGTTTAGGTTTCCTCTTGTAGAAACACCAGTATAAATAAGGTTAGTTTAGTTTAGGTTTCCTCTTGTAGTAACACTGGATCAATAAGTTAAGAGATGATCCTTACTGGATCTCCAGGAAGAACAGGTTAGAACTGATAGAGCTATCCAGTATAAACAAAGTTTAATTTAGGTTTCCTCCTGTAGTAACACTGGATCAATAAGGATATTGGACCTTTATAGGAGAAACAATTTAGAACTGATAGAGCTATCTAGGTAATTATTAACTCTTTTAGTTGAATATAAACACATCAGCGGCAAGCTTAGCCTACTTGACGAGTCATATACTGGCACAGAAGTGCCTTGCAATAAGTACTCAAACATAAGTCTAGGAAATTCGACCGTGGCGACATCACCGAATCTCAGTACACAAACACACTTGGGGGCGTCAATTTAAAATGCAAATTCATAAAAAAATTTCGATGTGTGTATATTTTCGATGTGTGTATCTGTGAAAGACAAACACAATGAAACCGTTTATCCTAATAGAAAATAGGTTACTCCTTTTTTAGTTTTTTTTTCTTTGATTTGTGAATTGTTATGTTGAAATAAAATCAGACCTAAATATAATTAAACTTACATATAAAGAGGACTTTCTCTGTGAAATTTTTAAAAAATCACTTGTTTTACGAAAGTTTTTATTGAGAAAAGTCTGTGAGGGGCATATTAACAGTCGTCTGCACGTTAAGCCCTGGGCAAACTAGGAAACATTGTTGCGGAAACATTGTTTCCTACCAATGTTTCGCCATGTTTCCAAGAGTGGGCAAACACTAGGGAACATCAGTGAGAAACATAGGGAAACATCAAATGTTTCTGAATTCGCTAGAAAGCTATTTTTGCTTCTCGGGAAGCAAATTTTGTTTCCGCAACAATTAATGTTTCCAAAGAGGGAAACATTTGAGGAAACATCGAGAATCACAAATGTTTACACAACAATGTTCCTAGTTTTCCTAGGGCTTAACAAGTTGTTAACAAGTTGATGACAACAAGCTCGTAGCAACTTGTTACGAACAGCCTGTATTGGTCTTGTTGGAACAATTTGTAGCAAGTCTGTTACCGTCATCAACCTTGTAACAAGGTGATAACAACTTGTTCCAGACTTGTCACAACAACTGGGAACAAGCAGTGCGAACACATCCTGATATCGGTTTGACAACAATCTTGTTACAACTTGTTTACAGAACTGTAACAACTTGCGCGTTCTTACGTGTGTCTAATAGGGGTTCCAATATAGTGTTTTACTAAAATTAGGAGGTTTAAAACAGCCGTGCACAGCATGATACTCAGTGGATGAATTTCTTTCCTGATTGAAAACATTACGAGAAGATGGTGCTGTCGATGTGATCAGATGACAGACGCGACGATTAGTCGATTACGGCCGAACAGCACCATCCACTGGATAGTGATAGATAGATGATTTATTCAGTTTTAAAAGACTTTACAGCTGATAATGGCTGAATTGCGTTAAAACGTTACAATTATAAAAATTTAAGAAACCTAATGATTAAAAATATTTACAATTACTAACAATAAAAAATTCATAAACCGATCAGTTTTGGACCTTGGAACGTTAAGTTGCCTTTTACGTCTCAGTTGGTATGAACAGTTATTTTCAGATGGTAGTAGAGATCTGAGTTTGTGGGATAATATTTTGAACCGTTGCAAAACTGCGCTCAGAGTTGTAAAACTACGGTTATGAACTTCGCAATTAATAAAAAGAAACCTCAATTTATAAATACTGAAATTTAATCTGGCTTTTCACAATAACGCACAATTTTAGCATGCTTGAATAAGTCACTATCCGCATGGTGCACACGTAAAAACGCAGAAGTTGTTACAGGTCTGCAAACAAGTTGCTACAAATCTGTTCACAAGCTGTCGACAAGTTGTGTTCGCACTGCTTGTTCCCAGTTGTTGTAACAAGTTTGGAACAAGCTGTTAACAACTTGTAACAAGCTTGATGGCATTATCAGACTTGTTACAAGGTTGTTCTAACAAGTCTGATGCAGTCATGACATAACAGGAATGTTACAAGGTTGACGACACAAGGTTGTAACAATATTGTTATATCACGACTGTATCGGACTTGTTGGACCAACCTTGTAACAAGTCTGATAATATCAACAAGGTTGTTACAAGTTGCTAAAAGTTTTTTTCCAAACTTGTTGTGCAATGGCTTGTTGGCAGCTTGCTACACTCAGGTGAACTGAACCAAAGACTTAATGAAACAATATTTTATTTCTTCACAGTTGATGCAGAAGACATCAGAACGTTCCTACATTACAATCCAATGTTCAACAAACTATTCTTGGGTTTCACTATGGCATGATTATGCAGTGAATCTGACAGGGGTCGATCAACCTCAAATGTATTGATGCTTATGCTGTACTGGAGTGAGAAAATGATACGAAATTCCATGTATTTGCCACCAAACACAAGGCTAATACATAAAACGAACAATCGACTCACTCTGATAACTGTGCTTTGTTTTAGAGTTGACCCCCCATCACTTCTGTGATGTCATATGAAACCAAAGAACAGCAATCATCTTGCAAATAGTTTCAGAAAACCAATCAGAAACCGTGATCATTAGAGTAATTAGAGAAAAGGCGAGGCTAATTTGAAATTGGAATTCAAGAATATTGGAACGATGATCAATATTCAGGCCTAGATATAATATATTTCTCTTCCTTGCAACAAATTCCAAAAATAAAAAATTCTTGTGCAAGCCAAATATAAAAATTCCTGCATATGTAGAGGTGAGGTATATGCCTAACATAAGGCATACATACTTTGCAGCCACCACTTATGGCTATAAGGTATGCTGAAAATGGTGTACTTTATAGCCACAAACCATGGCTATATTGTAAACTTTATTGGACAGTAAAACAATTAGACATACCAAACGGCATGAGTGCAAACGGGACTTGAAGTCCCATGCGAGGCACTCTACCTTTTTACAAAAAGGCTATAACATATTATGCCTAAAACAGACATACTTTATAGCCACACACCATGGCTACAACTGTACAAGGTATGCCTAAAACAGGCGTACTTTATACCCAAAAGTAACCCAATAAAAACAAAAAAAAGTAATATAAAGTAATTACCCAATTGACTCATAAAACAAACATTGACGATTTATATTTCTGTTTATTTTAGGCCACGGAAGGCCATCTCTTTCAAAATGGAAGGTACAAAACAGTTCACTTCATAATAGCATGGATTAACTGGACTGTGACATACATAATTTCATTGATACCATAACTCAAGAACAAATTTCAGAATTTATATTCCCGACCTAGAATGCTCATATTACTTGTCTTTTCTGGTTTCTAGAAAGCACGGCTCAGTCCGTGATCTGTCAGCCAATTATTGAAAGTAGCGGTAGTCTTGTTGGTAAGATGTGTAATTATTAATTGAATTGGACGTGATGTAATCAAATTGAAAGAAGTAATATGTAACCAAATAGAGTATAATAGAATGGAATAGCATTGAATGGAATGGGATAGCATGGCATGACATTGAATGGAATGTTCCACTGAATCTCGGTTTTAGGAGTGATTGAACTTTCAAGGAGGGTTGGACACGAAGCATTTGGCGATGAAGATGATGAAGTAAGAACTAAGAGACCAATTTCACATAAACTGTCTTTCTGTAATAAGTTTTATGGTATTGTAAAACATTTAAAATTACTACAATATAACTTTGCCATATTATTGCTGCATCCCTCAGTAACATTGTTAACGTAATTTTCACATTTTCAGATGTTTTACTCTATGCGCAAACGTCAGCATGGATACAGTTATAATGAAAATTATGGTCAGCGACTGTCTGTTTCAGTACCCTATTGGTTTTGCATTTTCACTTGCCCATATCGCAGGAGTATTTTCAGATAATTTTATTACTCTATACACTGTAGAATTACGCACAAAGTCTAGTGGACGCTGACCGGACATCGCTGTTTCTCGTGGATTCGAAGACGGATGAACTTTATGCTCGGATATTTGATGTGGGAGGGTCGCCTGAGGAATCGATGTCAGAAAATTTGAAAAAAGAAATCAGGTAGTTTTTTAAACATCGAGGGAAGATGTTGAATAATTTAGTTGGTTAGTTCGTTAGTTCGTTAGTTCGTTAATTCGTTAGTTCGTTAGTTCGTTAGTTCGTTAGTTCGTTAGTTAGTTAGTTAGTTAGTTAGTTAGTTAGTTAGTTAGTTAGTTAGTTAGTTAGTTAGTTAGTTAGTTAGTTAGTTAGTTAGTTAGTTAGTTAGTTAGTTAGTTAGTTAGTTAGTTAGTTGTTAGTTAGTTATTAGTTAGCTAGCATAGTTAGTTAGCTAGCATAATTAGTTAGTTAATCAAATGGTCTTTTGTAAACAGGATGTCAAAATTGTTTCAGATTTCCAAAGTCAAAGGGTGTTGCTGGATATGTGGCGACGTCAGGGGAAACACTCAATATCACTGAAGCTTACAATAACGTTTTATACTGTGTATTTATTAGAATATATACTTATTTTCAGGTAGCTCTAGAAGTTCTCTCGTATCACAGTATGTGTACAGATCAGGAAATGAGAGAATTAAATAAAGTTCGTTCGTTTGAACTGCCTGCAATGAGATGGTTGAAATGGTCATTAAGATGTTCGGGGAATTGTTTTCACTCAAGATGTACGTTCTTTTCAATTTATACTGTGATATTGAGTGTGGTGGGATGAAGAAAGAGGGAACAGCTCTCGCTTCAGTTTATACAACATCTCCTCTAGAACATCATCATTTTAATCAAACTATTACCATATTACAGGTTTGCTATACTACTTTCTCAAAATAATTTATTTAATTAAACACGATTAAAAAACTCATTAATAATTCATGAGGAAAATACAAAAGAAATGAATGTTTAATCAATGTCAGTTGTAAATCGGATAAAGATTTGTCCTGATTTACATAAACTTCAGCTTTGATTTTCTCGGCTTAAACAATGTTTATTTTTAAAATTACTTCGCCAATGAATTCATAAGATGGGTCGTTTTTTATGCACGTTAAAACCTTCGCATCCGATCTTTATCTGATATACAAACTCTCGCCTTCACTGATAAAGATCGACTGCTCATGTTTTAACGGGTATTTCGAAAACTCATTAATAATTCATAAGCAATTATCCAATCTTGAGCAAAAAATTAGTCACGTGCATACGTCTTTATACCAGCTAAAGAACACTTTAACAAAAGACCATTGTTATGCAAACTATATAAAGATTTTTATATAAAGATTGACTTATTATGCAAACGTTTTTGAAGCCATTTAAAAAACTCGCAGGTCGTGTTTTATTAGGTCTAAAGCCAACCTAATAAAACACTCCTGCTCGTTTTTTAAATAGTACTTAGAATTTGATTTAGAGAGGCAGTTAGACACTTGGTTATTGTTTAATAACTGATTGGAACCACTATATTATACAAAACAAAGATCTTTATTTTCGGAGCTACTGTTGGTTTAAGGGTCTACTCTAACTCGCCGCTAAATAATCCGAGCTTAGACAATTTAAGAGGGACACCGCAGATGATTTGCCTGCTCACCAGGTAGAGTATTTCACATTGAGCTTCGGTCAAACGATGATGATGAGAGTTGATGAGCTGGATTGACTCATATTCTGATTTTTTTAAGGTCGGTTTTCATTTCCAGGTATGCAAGTTAAATTAACTTTATTTATACTGAATAACTTTGTTAGTTTCAAAATGTTCTTTATGTCCAGTAAGGATCATCTCTTATTGATCCAGTGTTACTACAGGAGGAAACCTTAAACCTAAACTAATATTTATACTGATAGCTCTATCAGTTCTAAATTGTTATTTCTATAGATCCAGTAAGGATCATCTCTTATTGATCCTGTTACTACAGAAGGAAACCTAAACTAAAGTAACTTTATTTATGCTGGATAGCTTTATCAGCTGTAAACTGTTTTTCCTAGAGGTCCAGTAAGGATCATCTCTTATTGATCCAGTGTTACTACAGGAGGAAAAACTAAACTAACTTTATTTATACTGGATAGCTCTATCAGTTCTAAACTGTTCTTCCTAGAGGTCCAGTAAGGATCATCTCTTATTGATCCTATTACTACAGAAGGAAACCTACACTAAAGTAACTTTATTTATGCTGGATAGCTTTATCAGTTGTAAACTGTTCTCCCTAGAGGTCCAGTAAGGATCATCTCTTATTGATCCAGTGTTACTACAGAAGGAAAAACTAAACTAACTTTATTTATACTGGATAGCTCTATCAGTTGTAAACTGTTCTTCCTAAAGGTCCAGTAAGGATCATCTCTTATTGATCCAGTGTTACTACAGGAGGAAACCTAAACTAAACTAACTTTATTTATATTGGATAGCTCTATAAGTTCTAAACTGTTCTCTCTAGAGGACCAGTAAGGATCATCTCTTATTGATCCGGTGTTACTACAGGAGGAAACTAACTTTATTTATACTGAATAGCTCTATCAGTTCTAAACTGTTCTTCCTAGAGGTCCAGCAAAGATCATCTCTTATTGATCCAGTGTTAATACAGGAGGAAACCTAAACTAAACTAACTAGCTCAATCGGTTCGCAAAGTGAATCCAGACAAACTTTATTTATTCTGTACTAGGTCCATTTCCGACTATGCTTTCTCTATATTCTAGGGCAAACCTAAAACGCTGGTCAGAGCTTGTGGCGAAGAAGAAACAAGAAAACCAGCAACAGAACGGAGCTATTGAAGAAGTGAAGGTCGAAAAACAGGAAGTGCGCTCCGTGATCAGACATGAGTCATATAATGTAGCTGCCATAGACGCCCTTAGAAAAATATAAAGCCTTCAACTCAATCTCTGTGTCCTTCGTACTTAGCTGCAAGTAAGGATGATTCGCCCCCTCCCTTTTAAGGGAGGGGGCGAATCATCATTTTTTTTTATTTAAAAATACTTAAGGTGGCTCAATACAGTTTTCTTGAAAAGAATATCTTATAGCCTGCGAACAGGCTTTCAAGCTGAATTGAGAGCCTGCATCGATGACTAATGAATTTGAATATCTGCGTCTCAAATTGTGACGCGAAATTCTCATTGGTCAGATGCTATAATTTATATGTTTCCGCTGAGCTCTATATATGTCAACTGCTCACTATGCATAAAAACACATTAACTGATCAATTGGTCTTGGCCATCTTATCTCAAAGCACGAAATGTTCTGTTTTGAGAAAACAGTATTTAAAACATTCGAACTTTTGCTTGAATATTTTATATTTCAAAAAACAGTATAAACTGTACGGTCTAAATTTAGTTTGCACGGTCTAAATTTAGTTTGCACGAAAGTTGTAAACAACACCATATAAGGATAGACATTCCATATTTGGAAAAACGAACGTTACGGGGCAGATATTCAAATTCATTAGTCATCGATGCAGGCTCTCAATTCAGCTTGAGACAGAGCCTGTTCGCAGGCTAAATATTTTATAGTTATTAATATATCATAGAACACATTGGTATCGAAGGTACTAGACTTAGTTCCGAAATACCACACACTCGAACAGACTTGGCCTCGTAGCTCAGTTGGCAGAGTATTGACTAAAGGTTGCGGGTTCAATTCCATGTACCGTGGTCAGGCAAACTTTTCAGTCTGCCCAGTGTGGATAATACTTTTTATGTCGTTGCGAAATGTTGTAAAATGCGGATAATATAGTCTTGCGAA